TTTCCTTTCCTTTCCTTTCCTTTCCTTTCCTTTCCTTTCCTTTCCTTTCCTTTCCTTTCCTCTCCTCTCCTCTCCTCTCCTCTCCTCTCCTTTCCTTTCCTCTCCTCTCCTCTCCTTTCTGCTCCTTTCCTTTTTCCTTTCCTTTCCTTTTTTCCTTTCCCTCCCCTTCCTTCCCTTCCCTTCCCCTTCCCCCTTCCCTTTTTCCTGAATAGGGGAGATTCTCTATCCTAGTTCCTGGTAAGCCTCTTTGTGTGCGTTGTGAGATGACCGTCTCCATGCTCTACTCAACCTATTTGGACCAATTTGTCAAGAATACTATCAGATAAATATCCGTCATTTGAAACCTTTATAGTGGCAAACGCAAATAAATCAGAGACACATTTTTGCTAAGCACATCAGCAGACAGCTCTGGACTAATGTATTGGCCTTCAGACCTCCAGTGAAGTTGTTTCCCACCCATCCTGTAAAGGAATAAATTCTGGTTAAATGAAACATTTTATAGGGAAACCAGTTTAATCTGCAGAATGTCTAATTGATTAAGTAATTTGTCCACAAAGCAGTTGCATGGTTATTAACTAATTCTCATCTTTATGTTTGTATTTAGTGTTCATTTTCAAATTAATTTCATTTTTACCCTTCCCTTCACTCAGCAAATTATTACTGTGCGTATTGACCTAAAAAGGGTTCCCAACTATGAGGAGAACAATGAGAAAAAAATTGACTTCCCAGAATTCTCTTGTAGAAATATATGGTATGTTTGGACCACTATATATTCTCCTTGCTCAAGAGGCACTTAATACTATTTGAAATTTCATTTGATATTAAAGGATGTTTGAGGTCTGCCATGTACCATTTGGCAGGTGTCCATTAGTACACTTGATATGCAAATAATATTGAGTACATGAAAGTTTGGATGGATGTACCTAGTAGTATCTGGAAAAGTGTGAAAACTGACATGCACTGACTCTTAATAAGCAATTAAACCTTTTATCAATATGTGGTAACCTGGGTTATATTGCTGTAGCAGTATCCCTTTGTCAGTATAATAAATACCATTGGTAGATCAAGTCCCCATTCTCTGCTATAGCTCTTATTAGATTAAGGGAACTTCCGATCTGAAGGCCAAGGACAGAGGTTCTCACTGCTGGCCTGATATTGGATGATGGGTGTCATGATCCAAAGAGAGAAAAAGGCAGGTACAATTCCAAAGCAGTTCCATTTTGATTTAATTTTCTCATTCAACATATTAAGATTTCATCTTTGAGTTTCACGTTCTAAATTTGCTCAAACTGGCGATTCAAGGCCAATTTGAATGTTTGCAATGCTATCTTAACCAAGTTGATTATAGTAAAAATATGTACAGTATAGGTCAGAATGTTTGACCCATTGGAGATCAGGGTGTGGGTCATTATTTGTTTTCAATACGTCCCTTCCCCCAGCTTTGGCAGATTCATTTACTTTTTAGTCTTTTAATGAATGTTTTGCCCCGGTGTATCCAAGGTCTTAATGCCCCGATTCCCTATAGACTCTAAATTCTATCTTAGATTTCTCCCCAGTGGGATCCATATAGAAGCCGACTCAAATACCTAATGGCGCCGCAGGAAATTCTCTTGTAATAGATACCCTATGGTGTAAAACCAATATTTTGTTTTTAAAGTGATTTCCTTTTTTTGTTCTGTCTCCCGAACTTGCTTTTTGACCAAGCTAAAACCACCAGAAGTTATTACCAGACCTGAAGGAGAGAGTTTAATACGCTGCTGAATGGTGGCTGATTCATGGATTACTACATAATTTCTCAATTAATTTCTTGTAATTCTTGCTCCATATCACATATTCCAGAGAAAGAGAGAGACCAAAATAATTATGACAGGATTTGAAGTTAATCTGATGTGCATTCTTTAAAGATGAATTAAAAAGATTTCACAGTCTATTGCACAGTAAATGTACATGTAACACACAGGAAAATTGAATTTTTCTTCTTTGTAAGATTCTCTTCCATTGAATTGAATTGAATAACTAGGAGAAAAAAACCCTGAAGAAATGGTAAGTATGGCTCTAATAAGAAGTCCTAGAAATGGATACACATTTCACTCCATTTAAATGATAGATACTAGGTTGTTTCTAGGCCAGCCAAACAAGTATAGATTATTGTATCCAAACAAAGCATATACTTCAAGTATATCTTGTCACATACCACACATACAGGTAATCCTTGATTTACGATCACAATTGAGCCCAAAATTTATGTTGCTAAGCAAGACAGTTGTTAAATGAGTTTTGCCCTTTTGATAACCATTTTTGTCACAGTTGTTAAGTGAATCATTAAGCAAATCTGGCTTTCCCCATTGACTTTGGTTGTTGAAAGCCAGCTGGGAAAGTTACAGATGACACGACTCCAGGACAGTGCAATTGTCATAAGTGCCTGCCATTTGCCAAGTGTCGAAATTTTGATCATAGCAATGCTGTAATGGTCGTAAGTGTGAAAACGGGTCATAAGTCATTTTTTTCAGTGCTGTTGTAACTTCGAGTGGTTATTAAATGAAGTTGTAAGTGGAGGACTACCTGTATGCAAAAATGAGAGAAAACTCCAAAACAAATACAAAAGATATTATAAATACACTCACTTCTGCATATCACCTCAACTAATCCTTTCTTAAAACTGCAGTACAGAATCTTTGTATTGCAAGAGTTTTTATGGAGGGCTTCACATTTCACAAAATCATGTGCAGACACACACACACACACATATGGTATTCCGCTTTGTTGGGGTATTTTCCCACATCATTATAGTTGTGCTTTTAAAGTTGTAGCAACGTTTCGGCTGAATCTCATCTGCCATCATCAGGCTTATGTATTGGGTTTGTCTGTGTGTCAGGCTTTCACAGCCATTTCTGTTTTAAATTTGGTGCTAGCCTTGTACTTTGTTAGAATGGTTTTTACTTCATCCTGATTGGTTGGGAGTCTTGGTCTGTGTTTATTGGTCTTGGAGTTTGCTGTGTTCTGCTTGATTGGTGTTTCTAATATCTTCTATCTGTTTTGTAGCATATATTTTTTGTCTTGATTAGCTGGCAACATGGTGTTTCATGTATTGGGGGCTTTTAGTGTGTCTTGGCTTTGGGTGAATGGCCGGCTATTTATATATAAATTTATATGTATAAAAATTAATCCTCTAGATCTATGAAATCTATGTAGTTGCTGCCCCACTGTTCAAGATATCACTGCTCCTGTCTTCTCTGGGAACTATTTTCCTTCCAAAGTATAGTGAGATCCAAAGCCACAACATGCATGCAATCACAAGAAAAGTCAGCAATTAAACATATGGATCAGTTCATAAGAAAGGAGCCAGTCAGCAGAATGAACTGTTAAAATTGTGACTTATGGAGAAGAATGAATGACTAGTATCAGCAACAGTCATTGGCTCCCAGCTAATACAATAAGTCAGGAATTTCATATTATATCTTAGTTGGCATAGACCTAGTAAATTCCAATGCTTATACTTGCAGAAATAGGTCATATTTTCTACATTGCCAATTGTCAATATGAATACAATCACAAGGCTCAGAAAGAACTAAAAGCTGATTGGAGTATGGTAAACACTGAAGTCCAGCTTCAAAACCGATTGCTTTGGATGTTGGGTGGCTTGATAACATAAAAAACACCCACCTAATACAAATTCATTGCTCCAGTTCTTGTTTATTTTTTTTAAGTTCCTAATGCTGTGAATGATTCTGGTCTTAAGGCAGAATATAGTGCTGCATAAATTTAGTTAAAGAAAATCTAGTTGAATGAATATTTGGATTGAACAACATTGCTTACTCAATCATTTCTATGGTTCTAATTCCACCATAGACACATTGAAAATAAGGAAAATGTTCAAGGGCTGTGTGATTACAAAAATTATTCCACACACTTTATCAAGAGGTTACGTTGCACATACTCAAAGCAAAGCAAAACATAATAAAACAAAACAAAAAAGCTCAGTTATTTCTGGAAAAAGCTAACAATTAAGGCCCTGATCTCTATAGACAGACAAATTTAAAAACCTGTTAATTGCTTCAGCAATGTAAAACATTACTCAGTACACATACAAACATACGTACACATGTCTGCTTTGGCCATACAGACAACTTGAAATTAAACTTAGAGAATAATTAGCTCAGGAAATAAGAGCTGGGCCCTAAGATTGTGATTGTCCTATCATACCCTTATTATTTAAAAGTGGAAGGGAGTTGTTTATAATAACCAGCTTAGATTACCAAAATGGTGGTTTAGCCATTTATCAGATGTTCATGAGAATCAGGGAAGGCAGGCTGAATCTGCAGGACCCTCTCCCTCTGTTACCCCCTTCTTGTCTTTGGCATGTTCTAGTGGCTGACAGAGCATAGCAGTGTGTTGGGCTTGACATTTATCCTGGGAATAAATCACTTTGGATAGCCTTAAAGGGTAAATAATTGAACGCAGATTAGTGTTGAAAAGTGAGAAGGAGGAATAAAGTAAGTTCAACTCAAGAGGCCACCAACATATAAGAAAGTCAATATTTCCCCTAGTTTGTCCTTTCACCAATGAGTGCAATCCCTTTGAGCACATTTATTTACTGTATGTGTAGATGTGTATATACATATACAGTATGAATATGTGTGCGTGTCTCTATTGCTCTCAATAAAGAGAATATATATATATCTTGTAACCCAATCTACACCACAAAAAGAGGTATCACTTTCTAAGGCAATTACAGAGAAGTAAGTTTAGACTGCCTAAAAGCAACCCACACACTCATCTACCCTTCCCCCATGTTAGGTTACTGTAGGTAATCTGGAGAGTGGCTTGTCAAAGATAACAAATTGTGTCAATAGACTCTTTCAAAAGAATGGGTTAATCTGTGATCATTAAAAGCATCTGCAACTGCAAATTGTGGTTCAAGGATGAGATTCAATCCACTTACCTCCTTTCAACATTATATAATTCATTGGGGGGTGTCTTTTTTTCTGCTTTTTCTATAATATCAGAAGTCATACAGTTGTGCTCTTACTCTCAATAACTGCTTAACCTACCAGGGATACCTAACTTTTAGTTCTAAAATTGTGTAATATTCATCCAGCACACTTAAATGTATTCAAAACACAGAGCCCTCTATGCTTGAATCACATTTTCTGTTTAAAATTAGATTCTTTCAATGCATTTGTAATAGGGGGGTAAAAATAAAACTTTTTTTAAAAATAAAAGTTTTATTTAAGTTTTCACAAAACATACAAATACAAATAAAATATCTTTTTTTAAGAACAGCGTGGCCCAGGGTTATCACTTCTCCATACAGACATAAACTCAATACATATTTATCTTATACATCCTAATCCATATCTTATAACTGTTTTCACAATTTTTTCAATAGCTTTTCCCTTTCTTTACTTCCTATAGCCTTATTTTAAATTATCTCATTTCTTTCTTAATTCAATTACATATCTTTTTCTAATTTTTAAAATCTTTCTAATCAATGTTTTTATACTTTCCTCTGTCCTGTTTACAATTTCTTATTATCTTTTCTCATAAAACAAATTTTCCCCTGTAATTACTAGACTGGAGTGTAACACCTTTGTATCTTTTTTCAAATCTTATTTAAAAAATTAAGTTACATCTTTACAGTTATAACATTCATTTTCTAACCTCTATTTTATAACACATACCTATTTTCAATCGAATTCTGCTTGGTACATTCCCTTAAAATACACACTAAATTCTTTTCTAAAAAAGTATATATGTATATATATCTGTGTATATATGTATAACAATAGTAAACTGAGTAATTATTCTATTCAAGTACAGCTCTGCCATTAATATTAATAACAATCTTTTACATTTCTCTTTCTTTTAACAAACATTACCTAGTAATATCAGTTGTCTTTCACTTTAATCATTTATATTTCATATTTTACTTATTACTGTCTTTAAATAAAAAACTAAACAATAGTTATTAACAGTAGTCAATAAAGTTATTATTCTTATTCAAGTTCATCTTATCAACTGATAAAAATCTTCCATGTTTTTTTCAGTTTTTTTTAAACATTCTTTTTAAATCATTGAGAGCCTTATTTTCTTTACAAACAAATGTTCCACTACACATCAATATAAATTTTTTCTATCACTTTAATCATTTAACATATTTTCTAACCCTTTTCTATTTCTAATATAACAATGCTATCCCATGCACCCTTGCATAATCCTCTCCTTAAGTTAAATTTTAACCATTGTCTCTGTGTCTTTTAAATAGGTATATACCTTTAATTCTTCTATGCTTTTCCTGTACCTCTATATCTTGTTTCTGTCCTTTGTAGCTTCTTTTCCTTTCTCTCTTCCCTCTCTTCTTCTCCCTCCCCTTTTTATTCCCTTTTCTATCTGATTCTCCCTTCTGTGACCCTCCCTTCTGCTTCTTCTGGATATTATGATTATTACTTTTCAAATTACTCTTTTTTTTGTTGTTGTTGCTTCAATGCTTAAGTTTTTAACTCCCTTTCCCCCCTTTCCCTTTTTTACCTCACTTAAAATTGCTTGGTCATTGAATATGGCTTCTTTGTTGTCCCGCCCTTCTTGTTCTGCCAGCGTTTCTTGTTGTTTTTCATAGTTCAAGATCTCCATTTCTAAAAATTGAAATATGAAGCCAAAAGATCCTCTTCCATCTTGTGCTTCTTCTTTTTGTTCTTTAAGCCTCATTTTTAACACTTCAAGGAGTGATGCCATTTTAAAAAATTTTAAACAACCCCCAACTGATTTTATTTTATTTCATTAGGGTCCTCCATCCAAAGTTCTAAGAATCATCCAATAATCCAAAACTGTTTCTTGCTTCTTTTCTCACTTTCTCTTTCCAGGGGCTTTGTTCTCTTGTAACAAAGTTTCAGCTACAATGTATCTTTTGCAAGCCTTGTTAATATTCCACTATCAGTTTTTTTTAAAGTTCCAGGTGGTCTCCTCCATTTTCCAGATTCCACCCTCTTTTTTCCTTTTTCCCTCTGCTGCTTTCTTTCTTTTTTTAAAGAAAGTTTTTAAATTATCCAAGAATCTTTATCCTTTTGACACTTTATAGAAATATCCTATTAATGTCAAAGTGGTTTAGTATCGATTTCTTATTTGAATCTCTTCTTCTTAATGTTCCAAGTCAGTTAAAACTGTCGATGTTAGAGACAAAAAAGCCAATTCCATTTCCTTTCCCTTTCTCTTTCGCAGCTTAAAATATTTTTTAGGAATAGTATTAGTCTTTCAAATTCAGGTTCCAAGTACCTTAAATAGATGTTCTCCATTCAACCCAGTCAGTCAAACTTTCTCCTTTAAACTTCCTCCTGCACAATCTTGTCTGGTCAGATTCTTCTTTGAGGTGGCCATTTCTGACCACCGCTGCAACCGCCCTTGGGAAAGGGAGTAATGGCCAGCAGAGGAGGAGAGATGCGGCTCTCCTCAACCCCGTTGATGGCTCCCCCTTCTTCACCACCTCTACAGGGTGGCTTCAGCCCCAAATCCAGGCGGCTCGGGTCGCTCCAGTGGCAAGCATGGATCAGCCAAGAGAAACTTAGTTAACTCTAGTATATTGTAACATAATTGACCTATTGTATTTGGGTTTGACCACAGCTAGTTTTTCAGATGGCTGATGTATACGAATATCAAGCTTCAGAATCAGAATCACACAGAATCAGATATCACATACAGGTGGTCCTTGACTTATGACAGGTCTCTTAGTGACTAGTCAAGGGTACAATGGACCTCCCTGGGGGTACTTACAACCCATTTCCAGCTGCCTCCCAGTCATGTGACCACATTTCAGATGCTTGGCAGCCAGCTTGCATTTATGGCCATTTGCAGTGTACTTCTGTCACATAAACACATTTTATGATAACAACAACATGGATTACAACTGTCACGACTTACAACCATATTGGGCAAGTCCCATTACAGTCAGAAGTTGAGGACTATCTATGTACCATATGTTTAAACCAGGGGTGTCAAACTGACGACCCATGGGCTGGATGCGTCACATGCAGGCCACAAGGTGGTATTCAGTAGGTTCTGACCAGTTCTGGAGAACTGGTAGCGGAGATTTTGAGCAGTTCGGAAAACCAGCAAATCCCCCCTCTGACTGGAGATTTTACAGTATCCTTCCCCTGCCACACTCACCAAGCCACGCTCACAGAACTGGTAGTAAAAAAATGTGAATCCTTCCCGACTCTGCAAAGGCAAAAAATGTTGCGATATGTTGTGATACGTCACATGATGAGATTGAGTTTGACACCTGTGATTTAAACAATTGAATAGCATTTTATTGTTCCTGATCTTTGGAACAGCTCTTTAGGTCTCAAGAAAATGTCTTCTACTGAAATACATCTTTAAGACACATTGCTAAATGATTATATTGTTTGCTCTTTCCCACTCTCTCAGAAAACAGACAGGATCATCCAACCCAATAATTTTTCTCATTCTTTGTAAAAATATTTTGCCTGTTAATTGTGGGATATTATAAAGCTGGCCACTATTCTCAAAACAGTAGATGAGATTATAAAAATTTGTAGAAAGCCAGCTGCAAGGACAAAGTAAGTTATTTGTTTCATCCATCAGTTTGGATATATTTGCAGAGGCCGATAATCAGTGGTGATTTCAGAAGAAGGGGTAGGCTTCTGCTTGTCTGTAACATACACAATTGTTGTTTCCAGTGTTCATGCTACCAACAGAAGGCCTAACTTCGCCTGCTCAATTATCTTTCAATCTTCCTGCCCTCCACAGACTTTGATTTCTCTTATGTCATTAAAGTAACTAATGGCCTTTGTACTATACAATAGGATTTATACTTGTGATTTCTTTCATAATTCTATTTTGAATGAAAACAAGTTAGTAGTGGGTTTTGGGGGGTGGGTTTAAGACACGAACAAGCCTCTCTTGCTGGCATCTTAGCAACAATTCTTTATTATTATTTGTACATCCGTTGTGGTGGATGCTCTTCTTTAAAATAAATGTTCCACTCTGAATCTGTTTTTTTTTTTTTTAGTCTCAGGGATCATTTAAAACCAGCTTTCATTTAAGCCTTAGGAATGCAGTAGCATCCTAAAGTTTTGCTGGTGAAATACAATCGTTGCATGTTGCTTTATTTATTCAGGACTTCATCTCCCCCTCCTCTCCCCCACTAACAAATATATTCCTGCTCTATGGAGCGATTGGAAAGCCAAAACAACCTGGGTCATGTTGACTGGGTCAGTTCTGCTATCCTTTAAGCACAGAGAAAACCAAAGGCACTGATTTGTGATTCCCTATGGAACAATTTAATGCACGAAACTGTTTAAAGATATAGATATAGAGACCATGATGGAGGAGTAAATATACTGCAATCTCTCCATTATCTTTAATGAGATGTGAATGGTAGGAGTGCAATACTTACTGATCTAATTTGCATAGCACTTCTCATTATTAAATAAAGTGGCCTATATGGATGGGATTTAACTCATCTCACAGGATAATTTATAGACATGAGAGGATTATCATTTGCTGATTCTCCATCCTTCATATCCGATTGGATAAACATAGTTGTCAACCAGCCCAGATAATAAATCGTTAAACAAATTTTCATTTGGTAACTCAGGGCCCTTTCTGAAAGTATGTATTAACAAAGACTGTTCTTTAATTGCAACTGCTGTTAGTATAATTGATCAAAAGGCATTAACACAGTTATTCCAGCTTGCTTCCATCAATACAGAGTTTCTGTAGTTAAAATGGTTGATTAAAATAGGTTGGAAGCAAGAGTGAGTTACAAATGGAAGATTCTGATAATATTGGCCTATTCAGATACCAGTAAAGATAGTGCCAGTAAAGAGAAGAGAAAGAGAGAAAGAAAAATACCTCATCCAAATACTGCACACACTTAAGTTTTGTTAATAATTTCCTGTAATAAATGGCTGTGAAAAAAATCTACCATAAATAATTTGATCAAGGAAATAAAATGATATTTTCAGCCATCCAATATTGTCTGCCAACCCCATTACATATTCTTATGCCTGTCAGAGTTCCCTTTAGCCCAACCAGCTTCCGACAATTACTATTTCTGTGGAAGATCTGGATCGTCTGATCTTGAAACTAAGAATGAAGAATGAAATGAAGGAAAGGGTGGTCAAGGGAATTTGACTACTACAAGATAAGAACACACCAATTAATTCCTCATTATCTACTCACCATAGCAAAGATCTTGCCAGCCTCTGCACTGGAGTGCAAAAAGCAGCTGTTGTTTTAAAAATATCCTCTGGGATGTTGATGCATTTTAGAACCCAATCAAAAACAATGGATTCTTAGGACGTTAAGATCTCAAAGGATTCTGGGGTGAGGACAAATTCCTAAATTTATTCTTAAAAGTACAGATGGGAGGAAGATTAGTTTACATTCTGGGGATTAATTTATGGACTGAAATTTAGTTTATTCTTGCAGTGCATACTTCTCAGTATTTTGCAAACAAATTACCAATGAGAAATGCAGCATGGAAAATTCTGTTTAAAAGTATGTATTTGTAAACATTTCCTACACAAGTCCATTAATCCTGGAAAATGAAAAACTGTATATTAAACAAAACTGTAAATAAAAATAAAAATTCAAAAGTAAAATAGCTGTGTTCACTCTTGTTTTGAAGTAGAAGTAGACAGATTAAGAATTGCAATTCCTACTTTCAATACCAGAGATATTGAATTTATAAACAAACCAGAATTCTAATTTGATCTGTGGCCATCAGTTCAACATATGGATTAATTGGTCAAGTTAATGCTTTTGACTGCCATTCCAAGAATCTCAAAAGATGGCTGTTCTTTTTCCAAACAGATCAAATACCTAGAAATCACTGTACCTCTCTGCAAGGTTTGAGGATTCACAGAAAAAGCTTGGCCATTTTGCAATAATAAGATAGTTTTGATTAAGATCAAGCCAAGCAGTAGGTCACGGGAAGGAAACAGTGGCCTTTGACAGAAGGGAGTTGACAAGTGATGAAGTAAGGAATGTGCTGATGTCCTTGAGTTGGCTGAGGGGTAAAGTGTGGGAAGATGCAGGCACATGAAGATGAAATCACTGTTGGGTTAATTAATTGGGGTGGGATGACTGCACATTCAGGGGAGGAAAGAGGCTTAGTTTGCCCTAAATCTAAATTTCAAGTAGCAGCTACAAAGGATTCTGGAGCTACAGGAAGCATGGAAGCTATTGGGTGAAGCTTGAGTTGGCTGCTATCCAAAGGAGTATGTCAAATATTAGTGAAAACAGACTGCAGCTGTTGTCTACAGGAGTATTTTCTTACAATTATGCTTTCACTCCTTCTCAAATGAAACTCCATGCCCACCAGGATTGCCACTGGTACCATGGAGGGCATGTATCTACACCAAGCTGGACGATCATCAAGACCAACATGCAAAATGTGTGAGGGGACCAAAATCATCAATTCTGTGGGATTGATTGCCTTTGGTTGCTTTATGTACAAAACTATTTGTGGACCAGAGGGACAATACTCAATTCTTTTTCTTCAAAGCCAAGTTTTCAGCCTTGAGCTCTGAGAAAAAGCCTGGTGCATATTGCTGGAGCATCATCGTCCATCAGTACAGTGGGATCTATCCTGCAACTCAAGAAACCTGCTAGGGCCTGCAAAATGGGCATATTACAGCACCCATCTTGCTCCATTATGTGTTTCTATTTAATGTTTATTATTATGTTTCAGAGGATTTTGGAGAAAAATTGCTCTCTTAAAAGTATTTAAGGGAGTTGGGCATACTGTACAATCAGCATACTGAGGATGTATTTACTCATTAAAATTGTTTTAATGTTTTCTCTCTAACTTCCTGCTGCTGCTCCTGGAAGATTATACATGGTGAAATGAGAAGAAAGCCAGAAATGACCCTAGGGTAATCATGCTAGCCATAATATCAGAGCAGTTCTGTTTGTCCTGGATTTTCTAGGAATGTTATATTTGTCAAAAATATCTCTATAGCCATCCATCTTGTCAAGGACTTTTGTCCTCCTGTGCTGCTTTACAGAATTACTTTAGATCTTTTGCTGCTTTGAACAACAACATCAACAACAAATGAATGCTCTGAATTGGCACTTCCACTTTAACCAGGGGTGGAATTCAATTTTTTTAACAACTGGTTCTGTGGGCGTGGCTTAGGTGGTCATGTGACTGGGTGGACGTGGGTTGGTGGTCATGTTCTTGGTTGGGCATGGCCAACTCAATATCACTCACATTGAAGCACACATCTCCTCACCTGGCTTCTCATGACTGTGGGGATGCTGCAACAGTCATAAGTGTGAAAAAGGGTCATAAGTCACTTTTTTCAGTGCCATTGTAACTTTGAATGGTCACTCCACACAAGCAAAGTACCAACAAAAGATGGAAAGAAAACTCCAGAGAGGTTCCAGAGACAGGAAATCTAGTCCTGCCAAGAATGTAATAAGGGTTAACGGAGAGGCAGTTTCTGTAAGCAACACCAGAATGTTTCCTTCCTGCCTTCCTTACAGGATTAGGCCAGTTATTTCTTCTAACTACTGGTTCTCCGAACTGCTTAGAATGTTAACAACCAGTTCTAGCGAATAGGTGCGAACTGGTAGAATTCCACCACTGACTTTAACTGATTTCTCATTTTCTGGATTCCTGATCCAATTTTTTTTCTTTGTAAAGCATGATAAAGTTTCCCCGTTTCATCAAGCAGTAGAAAGTTTCTGGAATTTTTCTATTTTCCTGTGCTGTTGAATTCCATGCTGAAGCAAAATAAAGGAAACTATTTGTTGTTTATAGTTACATAAATTAGCTGCTAAGTCTAAGCAGAACTCCAAATGGAACCCTGGTGAAGCTCAAGGAGCAACTTCTCACCTATTTTATTCCATGATATTATCTTTGTTTTTAGCAAGTGAGCCAATCTATTTTTGGTTCATTTGCAGTTCAATAGGAAATAAATGGAAGCCAACTTTTCAGCAGAACTACTGGTGCTTTGTGAAGTTTAAGCTGATTAATATCTCATTGATAGAACATCTTGTCTCGTCTTTCCTCTTGTATCTTGGCTTTTTCCGATTTCTGCAATGGTACTTTCATATTAGCATTTCTTCGCAGTTTGTAACTTGAACAGAGAGATGATGGCTTGGGATTTTTTGCAGCTTTAAATTGCCACACACATACACAAATACACACACACACATCCCATCAAATGGATGGGATGAAATGGAGGAATGGTGTATAGGAAGTTCCCTGATTGCCTCCTTTGAATTTTGAGCTCAAAAACCACAAAGAGGACTGCAGATTATGAAGTCCCTTCTAAGGTGGATCTTCCCAGAATCAGCTTTTCTGGAGGTCATTTTCCCAACTCCTCTTCAGTGCAGAAACTTGCAAGGCAAGCTGCTGAAACAGCATCTGATATGAAAATTTATTCAACCGTTGCTTCAAAACCTTTAAGACCCGCAGTATCCATTGTCTTTTATTCCACCTATGAGCATCAGGATGGGGTGGAGACAATGGGACAAATTACGAAACATGTGTGGGGACAAAATGATGCAACTTACATACTGGTGTCAGAAGTCAGGACACAACTGCATAATTTG